ATAAACATAAGATGAGCCATGTTGGATCAGACTAAAGGTACACCTTCTTAAGCATGCTCTGTCTCACAGGAGTGAACCAGGTGCCTCTGGGAAGTCCATAAGCAGGGCAAGAAGACCGAAGCCTTACTGTTATCGTCCCCCAGAGACCAGTATTCAGTAGCACACTGCCTCTGTACATGGAGATTCCACTAAGTTACTATGGCTGACAGGTCATCCCATCTGAAATGGTTGTCATCTGTGGCGGCAAATACTATATAAATTGTGCAGTGTTAGGGTGTCTCTGGGTTCTAGTATTATGGGAGAGGAAGAGAAAGTTCTCTCTTCCCCCCCATCCCTATACCTTGCATCTCCCTTATAAATAAAAGCCGAATGGTGGTGGCACTTCTCTAGAACATTCCACACACTCCAAAATCAGTTCGCTCTCTGATCTGTCATTCAGAGGGTCTCCCTATCCACTGGCTGCTTTGCCTGAGTCCTGCCTCCAACATTCTAAACATTTTGCAGTTCCTCTCCCCTCCCATAGCCAGTCAGAACACAGAGGTTATTTGCATATGCAGCCTCATTGGCCTCTGCCTCGGAACACAGAGGTCATTTGCATATGCGACTTGATTGGCTTTTGCCTCTAACATTCTAACCAGTTTTGCTCTTCTGAGGTAAAATGTGTCCAATCGCCAGGTGAGGGCTGGAGATCACTCAGAATTACAACTGCTTTCCAGACGGCAGAGATCAGTTCCCCTGGAGAAAATGGTGGACTCTGTGTCATTATATCCTGCTGAGGTCGCCACAGCAAATTGACACTGAGTGTCCAAGGCCGGGGCACCCGCCCAGAGCTTCTTTCCAGAGGCCATTGTATTTATTTCCACAACAGGCCTTTTTCCTAGTAATTATATAAACTAATATCATGAACTTCCTTAGTCATCTTTCTTCTAAAATGACACGCCCCAAATACTTAGCCTTTTCTCTTACATAAGGTACTCTAATTCTTTGATCACTTTTCTACAGCTTTTCTCATTCTAGCCTTTTGGAGATGGGACAAGCAGAACTGTACTCAGACGTCCAAATGAGGTCACTCCATTTATATATATATATGTGTGTGTGTGTGTGATATAGACAGTTCAAGTTTCATCCCTTTCCTAGTACTTCCTAACATGGTATTTCTTACACCAGAAACACCCTATTTTAAATTGCCTGAGGCTTGCACACAGCTTTCTCAGCTTACTGGATCATGGTTATAACACAGCTACTCTGGAGCACTGGATAAAAGTTGTGCATGGAGAAAAGTACCATAGGAACCAATACCCCTGTGGATTTAACATAAGTTGCAATGTGGCAGAGTAGTTAAAGTGTTAGAATAAGATCCAGAAGCCCCATGTTCATATCTGCACTCTGCCATGGAAGCTTCCTGGGTGACCTTGGGCCACGTGGGTTTTGGGTTCCAAGTTACTTTTTGCCCATGCACAACTGTTATTCAAGGCACATACAGGACCACCTCTCCTGGTATACTCCCGGAAGAGCATTACACTCTGGGGAGAAGAACCTCCTGGTGATCCCTGGCCTGAAAGATATCCAGCTGTCCTTGACCAGAGCCAGGGCTTTTTCAGCCCTGGCGCCGGCCTGGTGGAACTCTCTGCCTAATGACATCTGTGCTCTGCAGGATCTAGTGCAGTTCCACAGGGCCCGTAAGACAGAGATGTTCTGCCAGGCCTATGGTTGAGAACAGCGTTTTTTCATCGAGCCTGGCGTCCCCCATCTCTCCTCCCCCCTTATGGTGTAAGGACATAAATTGATCCTTTAAGCACCGTCTGAAATAGATACAGAACTCGTTTATTGTTTTTGTTTTAATCTTGCTTCCAAATATATTTATTGAATATGTTGTTCACCACCCTGAGCCTAACACAAAGGGGAGGGTGGTCTATAAATCAAATAAGTACTCTCAGCCTAACTTACCTCACTGCGTTGTTGTGAAAATAAAATGGAGGAGAATGGTGCAAGTGACTTTGGGTCACCACCATGGTAGAGAAACATGGGCAAAGTAACTAAACATTTACATCATGCTGACACTACCATGACGATTCAGACCTTTCTTGTGCTGTCTGCTTGAATAAATGGTTTGGAACAATCACAACTATGCATGGGAAATATTTCCCCTTTGAAGAACTTTCCAGGTGTGGTTATAATTTTATCTAAAAGGTTTCTACCCCCTTTTCGGTGCACTCAAAGGAGCATTCCAATAAATCAACAAAAGCCTATAATAAAATGAACAGAACTATAACTGATAGTTTCAGTTATGTGAGGGCTTATAAGTACCTACCTACATAGAGAATCACCCATGCAGTCCAGGATCGTGGCAGCAGCTGTGTTTTTTAGCACAATAAATTGGGCTTGAGAACCAAACCACAGGGCACTGAGCTCAGACGTGTGTCTGAGCAGCAAAAATCATGGGGGGAGAGATAGGTGTAAGGGCCCTGGCACTGGTGAAAGGGGCATTTTACTCCTTCAGAATTATAATCCCCCAGCCCCACCCCCAGTGGGGCCTACAGCAGCTGGTATGGGAACATATCCAATTGGGAAACTGCACAGGGTAGAGGAAGAGATAAAGCTAAAATAAAAGGTAAATGTAAAGGTTCCCTTGCTCAAAAGCCAGTCGAATCCTACTCTAGGGTTGTGGTGCTCATCTCCGTTTCAAAGCCGAAGAGCCAGCGCTGTCTGAAGACATTTCCGTGGTCATGTGGCCGGCATGACTAAACACCAAGGCGCACGGAACGCTGTTACCTTCCCACCGAAGTGGTACCTATTTATCTACTTGCAATTTCTTGTTTTTGAACTGCTAGGTTGGCAGGAGCTGGAACTAGAGATGGGAGCTCACTCCATCATGCGGCACCCGGGTCTCAAACTGCTGAACTACTGACCTTCCACAGCCTGCAGTTCAGCATCTTAACCACTTGAGCCACCGCAGCTCCAAAGCTAAAATACATGGCTGGAAATCCAGTGACAGTTCCTAGCCATGTGTGGTTTGGCCCTGAGGGCTAATTCATGTATTAAGTCCACATAGGCCTCATGCGGGCTTATACAGACATTTTCTAGGAGCTCCCCACTGGGAACTTAATTCCCAGTTGTGTACAGGCCCAATTCGAATCAGGTCTGTAGCACAGAGAAAGAAGAGGCTTCAGGGGGATCCCACCACCATTTCCCACATATGAAACACCCTAAGGGACCCACTGTCTGCTTATTGGGGAAACTTATATGTACTGATGGCTATATGTAAGTTTCTCCAACAAGACAAACAGCTGTCCTTCAGGACGTAGGGGAGCAGGCTGAATTAGGCCCACACGCTTCCAGGAACTGAGTTCCCAGCATGGAACTCCAAGAAGACACCTGACCCAAAGTCCTTCTGGCAACCACATCTCCACCATGTGGACTTTGTGAATCAGCCATAAGACAGGAGGACAAAAAGCAGCAGAGGCAAGACTTTCACCTTGTCTATCTCTGTCTCTCTCTCTCTTTTTAAAAAAGGACCATTGGGCAAGGATATTTTTATAACATCACTTCCTGCCATTACATTCCCTTGAATTTTTGCAAAGCCCCTGCTGAAGAGGAATGGATGGAAGTCCCACAAAACCTGTCAATGCATTTCTTTAAGCAAATCATAAGAGTGTTAAAGCAAAAATGTGTATAATCTCATTACTTTATCAGGGCTGGAGAACATTCTGTAATTCATCACAGACCACACACATTTAATTTTTTTCATTACAAAAAGGAAGTAAATAATGTGGCATGCAAGTAATCAATATGCTGAACTGGCGAGAAGGCACGGTAGAAATTCCTCATTCACACAATCAAAAACACATCTGTATTTTAGAGAGAGGCATAGAATTTTGATTGATTTTGTAATCCCAAGAGACACAAAAGACACCTTAAAATAGTTTTGTGTCTCAGTCAGAAATCTCCATCTCACCAAAATACAAGAAATTTACCATAAATTCCTGTGCTGTTTTTACAGAATAAGCCCATTGAAATTAACTGGTTTAGACGGCAGTGAGTGACTCTGTAAATAATGGATAGTTTTCTGCCTTTTAGTGGTACCCTGACCTCTGCCCTTGAGGTGGGTTGCTTTCACTGTGCCACAAAGCAGGGCTAGTCCACTATAGTGATCAAGCACTGTTGGCTGTCTTTAAGCCTTATGTTTTCCATATTGCCTGGTCCCACCAAGAGAAACAAAGACCTTCGCTAGCACACTTACTAGTTTGTCTTAGCCACTAATGCCAGCCAAATGGCTTTAGTCTTGAGACTTCTAAAGGCTGCCAAGTCTGGTTTGTAAAGGATTCATTGTCATTTAATAACAAGGACACCCCTGAGCAACTGCAGATTTCTCTGCACCTAAACCCAGGCAGTCAGGTAGGCATGAGAGAGAGAAAGGCTGTGTAATTAAAAGCAATAGGCACATGTTAAGTTCAACTTCCTGCTTTATGGAAATGGAAAACAGCAGATGGGAGGCAGCTAGGAATGGTTAAACAAGCAAAAATAAAGCCACATCTTGGTTTACTTTATCCCCAGCAATAATGCTGGGTTGGAGTTGGTTCAGAAACAGAGTCCAGCTGGAAGAGAAACTAGCAGTAGCATGTTTTTATCAGCCACTGCTGCTTCTAGTCTGTCCTCGTTTTTTGTATGTCCATAAAGATGTCTCTTTTAATACTTGGAAATAAGTTCTAGTTAATACCAATGAGACTTCTGTGTCCAAGCTTAGGCTTGCGGCCTGTAGCATGCTTTCTTCGGAGTTAGCCCTCTCAAAAATGCCTTCCAAAAAGATTTTCAGGAAATCCAGTCATTTGGCTTACACAGTAAGCTATTCCTTGTTCACTGTGTTCTGAACAATGATGTATTTATATCAGTACAAAATTATAAGTTGCATTTCCCCCCTCTGTATACAATACTGAGTAGTAGTTTGAGCTTCCATAAATATGTCATTTTCTTCTCTATACAGCTGCCAAAAATGGGGGAGGGGGGGAGGAATTAACCAACCATCCACAAAGTGAATGGAATAATGATGGTGGGGAGAGTAGTGGAAGGTGCCAGACCCAGGTAAAAGATAGAAGCGAGTCCCAGCAGCACTGAAGCCAGAACACTCCTCTGGTCCCGAATGATCATCTTCACTATTTCACAGAACTGGGGGGGAAAAAACAGTGAAAGAGGTCAGAGCTCAAGTGGAAGCAATGTTGAGTGTTAAGCGCATGCATAGATGGAGGCACACATACAACAGGTTTCTGTTTGGTCTGAACAGACACATTTGCAGTTCCGAGCAGCTAGACTACCCACAGTCCAAAAGTTTGGGCCCTCTTTGGCCTTGCAGAGGCTCCCAGGATACACTTTTTCGACTTCAGCAGACCCTCAATTCAGAGGTAAAACTTTGCATGCAGAAGATTCCAGGTTCCAGCCTCAGTACCTCCAGCTCTCAGGCCTGAACTACATGTGATGTATAACTTGATCAACATGGGGACTTGCAGCGGGATGCCAGCTGTGAGTTCCCCATGGGAGCCCTTGTTCTGAAGTACTACAGAGACCAGATTTGGATTGGGACCCTGGCATAGAAGCATCATTTTCCTGACCCCAGGGGAGATTATTTGCCTTGTGTGAGGGCCTCCACATGAAAGTATTCAGTATGGCTACAAGTCCCCATAGCAATTATGTGTTAGACATATAGGGAAGTTCTCTGTACCTGAGACCAGTGTTCCCTCTAAGCCGAATTAGTGTGAGCTATCTCACAGTTTTTTAGCCTCCAGCTCACAGATTTTTGTCTTAGCTCAGGAAGGATGGCTCCAGAGCAAGCTAATTTATGCAGCAGCCAAATCGCTCGCTCACAACTTTAATGCCAGTAGATCATAAAGTAGAGCTTTCGCTCAAGACTCCACAGCTTAGCAGGAGCATTGCCTGAGGCCCCAGAGAGCTGCTGGTCAGAACATATGAATGACCCTGAGTTAGACAGACCAGTAAGCTGTCCAACTTCAGGTTGCTTCAGATGAGTGTATATTGCTTCACTGACTCCTAAAATGTTTGCTGGCCCGTGCAACCACTTAGGTAACTATGCAGCCATAAAATCTAGAGGTAGTGGGGCTGAAACCTGTCCAGAAATCATGCACCACACTGGAAGCTCTTCCCTTATCCTCCCCATTTCATTGGGGAAAAGTGCACTCTGTGCATGTTCAGAGGCTCTAACTTTTTGGTTGGCATTCACACATAGCAGAGCTGGTTCATGGCATTTAATGTTTGTTCTACAGCTGAAGATGGTTGGGTCAAATGAAGCAATGACTGTATCCTCTACCTAAATCCATTTCTCCCATTAATCTACTGTGCAGAACAGATTTATTTAGCTTTAAAGAGAATAAGCCCTTGGTTTAACTCCAAGTCCATTATCGAAGATGCATAAGACTTCTTTCCATTTGTTCAAGAAGCAACAATACACACTGAGCAGAGATCCAGATTATGTGATTCTGTTACCTCTCCCCACACCACAACCCCATGATCAGTACCCCTTATCAATATCATTCCCCAGTTATCTGAACTTCTAATGCTCCTGGCGTTTCCTGTGTCTTTGAACACACACAGATAAAGTGATGTTGCCTTGCATGACAAAGGAGAATGTATATGGGTTTATAATTTGATTATCAGACGTTCTGTGCATCTCACCCTGATCTCAATGCCAGCAGTCTGGGGACCAAAAAGGAAGTTTCCAGTACTGTAATTCCTATTTGCTAGGATATTGCTTTGGGATCTTTTTAGTTGGATTCTGAATGGTATAGAAGGAATGACAGAGGAAAATTGTCTTTAGCCAGCATGCCAGTGTACAAGGAGTCTGGTCTGAGATTAGACAAGGGAATAGTGTGGTTTGAAGAGAGAGAAACATAAAATGAAAGCTTCAGAACTAGATGTCCTACTTCTTGAAAGTCTATGCATTTAAAAAACAACAATACACCTTAAATGTTTCAAAGTTGCTAAATCCCTCCAGCCAAGCTATTTATTAGACTGCTAAAGCAGCATACAAACAAACATTGTTATGAGAGAGGTGCTACACAGCACCACCAATTAAAATCTGCTTTGTCTCACAGGGACCTGGCAAACTTAAATGACCTCACTGGCATTTCACACAGATTCAATATTTTTAAAGAAAGAAATAAAAGCAAAAGAGCCCTTGCTCTGTTCCCTGCCTGCCTGGAGCACAGACGGTTCCATTCTAATTAACCACCCAGCAACACTACAAGACATTCTTTGCTCAGTACCTAAATAGACCTGACGTCTTTCCTTTCGCAGTCTGTCCCAAGTGCAGCTTGTAAAGCCTGCTCCTGCTTCAACCTGGGGCCGCTGCTAGCGCAGCCTGAAATTCCAGCACAAACTGAGCCTTTATTTCAACTGAATGGTGGAGAAGAAATCACCATTGCTCTTAGTGCTCCCACTCCCAGTTACAAAGTAGTCCTTTAAGGAGCATTACATCCAGCTCTTCTGGCTTAGAGGAGTGCTACGCACACTCGGAAATATGTATTATAACTGTGCCTTTGTTTAGAAAGGGGGCCCTTTTACAAGGGCCAAAGCTTTCTTTTTCAGAACAGTTCTCAGTGGGAAAACTCTACCAACTTTCATTCATCCCACTGCCCAAACCTTCTATTTGAGGAGAGACCCATTTCCTTACCCCATAAGTTAAATACTTCCATCCCCACAGTATTTAAAAAGTGAACTGGACTCGGGGCAGTGTGTAAAATGACTCATGTACCCCCCCCTTTCAGAATCCAACTAAAAAGATCAAACATTCCCCCACAATAAAGGGTGCAAAGGAAGAGGGGGAAAGAAGCAGAGAGCTACAGCAAATGTCAGGATGGGCAAGCTGTAAAAAGCTTTTAAGTTAGCGGCAGCCCTTCATGACATTGCTGGGACACTGGAAACAGGCAAGGGGTCTTGTATCTGCCACACACCATTTCCTGTATTAGCCTGGTAGTCATTTATGAATTAATGGCTCCTTGCCGAATGTGAGGCCATTGATCTCAGAGACAGGACCAGAGTGTCAAAACAAACAACAACTTGCCAACTTCCAAGGCTCTCAAGAAGAGAGCACAGGCAAAGTTTAAAGGGGCTGTCATGACAATAAACACCCTCAGACAGAGAAGGATTTACAAAGGGTCTTCTTGCTGTAGAAGGAGACTTGGAGTATACTCCAATAGCA